CAGCCATCATTGTTGTTTGGCAGGTCCGAGCTGGGGATTCGAACCCGCCACCTTAGGTGTATGTGGCTGGTGTCTTAGCTGCTTGAGCCACAGGCGCCAAGCCCATATCAATTATTTGAAATAGTTAAGTAGAACACCTATTTCTTACAGTGATCCATCAAAATTTTATTTCCTCCCCCTTCCGCTCCTTTATCATGTCTTTGGGGGGAGGCAGGACCTTACTCTGTTGCCCCAGCAAGAGTGCAGTGGTGGCATCACAGTTCATTACAACCTCAATGTTTTGGGCTCAAGTACTCTACCTGTCTTAGCCTCCCTATGGCTTTTTTTTTTTTGGTAGAGATGGGGGTCTCACTCTTGTTAAGGTTGTTCTTGAACTCCTGGCCTCAAATAATCGTCCCACTTCTGCCTTCCCAAGGGCTAGGATTACAGGCATGAGCCATCTTTCCTGACTTATAATCAACCACCTGAAGAGTTTTATTCAATTCAGTTGTCCTGAGTTTTCTTCCATATCTTACAGTTACCTTTCTTCTGAATGATCCTTACCTTTTCCCCAGCATTGAGTCTTACTGAAGAGAGCTCAACAAGTTCATAACATCCTGTCTCATATCATGTTGTTTCTCCTTTTTATCATGAAATCAATCAGCTGGATCAGAGCAATGAAGTTAAAGACATCGTCCATCACATGGAGGAAATGCCAAGTTACCATATTCTTGGCTGACTTCCTTCAGTTTGAAGTTCTTCTACAATTGATTTAGCTATTCCCCCATCACCACTTTGATCTATAGACTCACGGTCCCACTTGAGTTCCTCCTCCAGTTTGTGAGTGCCTCACATCATTTATGCAACCTCAACCCAAGTACATAGCCTAGAAGCCAAACCTTTAACAAAAAATTTTCACCATTCTCTGCCATCTTTCTGCCTAATAATTCTTTAGCCATTATTATTTAGAGTCAGAGGTCATGTCAAATATTCCATCCTCATCACCAACTAAAAAAAATTCACAAATGTAATTGAAAGTACAAGACTCCACAGAGCATATGCATGTGAGGTTTTGTTAAAAGCAAAGGATATGGTATAGCAAGAGAAAGAGAATACAGGTTCACATTGGGGTCAGATATCCAGGCAGTCTCCCAGATTCCTTTTTTTTTTTT